TCCCTCAGCGACCAGCACAGATCAGCTCTAGGCATGACGAAGCGGATATTGTCCTCTTTTGGAAGACCAAACAAAGTAGTTTCGCTTTCACAACGAAACATACAGCGTCTCCACAACATGGCGGCGGCAACAGCGAGAATAAAAGTTACGCCTTCTTTCTTTGCGTGAACATTTGGGCGGCGTTATGCAAATCTTCCCACATCGTGACGTAGACATGTGGGGGCGTGTTAGAACGAGCCGTTTTAGGTGGGCGTGGCTGACTCCTACCTATCTCGTAGCCGGTCCGAGGCGGGGTCTGGGTGTGTGTAACACTGACCTGTGTTTGAGCAGAGGGTGCGTGGGTAGTCCGTTGGTTCGTCCTCCCGATCCGCCCACTGCTGCTCACTGGCGAGAGAGGAGGGTGAGTGTGATACGGCTCTGGATCGTCCACAACCTCCCTCTCTGATATAACTTTTATAAAGAATATCTCTTTGGATTTGAGACTTTAGTCTTTGCATCTTTACAGATCTTCTTTATGCACCAAGAGCTTGTAACACTCCAAAGAGAAAGGAAAACTTGAAATCGCATCATATGACCCCTTTAAAAGCTATGTTTAAAGTGCAGTTTACTCCAAAATTTAAATTCTGTTGTTATTAATAGGGTTACCATACATCCTCTTTTTCCCAGACATGTCCTGGCTGGGACTTCTAAATTGCCTGAAATGTTCGGGTTTTGGTTTTGTCATCCTACTGTTTTCATACTTAAAGCTAATGACTGAAAAATAGTTTGACCAATAATCAACCAATCGTGCTGTGCAAGAAGGTGGGAACTACAGATAACGGTCAAAGCAATGCAAAATATGCATACATATAAAATATGAGGACTGTAGAAAGGCTGTAAATAGGAAAATAAAATCAAAACCTGGACATTTTAGGCAATTTAGAAAAAGGATGTAAGGTCACTCTAATTATTAATTATGTCATTTTGTTCTGTAAAGCACTCAAAATGAATAATGATCAGTTGAGTTTGGTTGCTGTGATTTGTCAGCTGAAATTGTGTTTGTGAGGAACTTATTTGCATGACATTCACATTGTCTGTCTCTTTCCAGCTGATGGCGTTGCTCTGGGTGCAGCTGCGGCCTCATCACAGGTGTCCGTGCAGGTTGTTGTGTTTTTTGCAGTCATTTTGCATAAGGTGAGTTTGCTTATTTATCTGTACTAGCACTGCTGAGTCATTCTGTATTAAGTAGCTGAAACAGTAAAGCAACTGACCCTTCGCAAAGACCCGCCCCCCCTTAGTTACTGTTGCTATGTCTGACAAGCCATGGTGCTCTCACGCCACACATCATGTTCTCACGCAGTGAAAAACACATGGCGGAGCAAAGACGACACTGATAACACGCCGACAGATGAGACAGAGCAGGTTACTTTTGGTATGAAATAAAGTCTCAGCTTTCAAATGTTGTACATTTTTAAGAAATTCGAACAATAAATGCTGTTTTGTGGTGCCTCAGTTCAAACATGAACCTCCCTCTTTACTTGTTATAGCATGAAATAAACCTGAATGAACATCCTAAGGTATCTTGTTTCAACCGCGGAAAGATGTCATTACACACCATTTTTCAAGTTCAGGTCCACCGATGTTAATCTACTGTCCTGTCTGGTTTCTTTGTTGGACAAAATGGCAGATTCGGTGTTATGATTGGTCAGATCGCCTGTCAATCAAACTCTCTGCGATGGGTCAATTCCAAGGCCATGGCTTTGATTCTCATGGAATTCATTAACTGATCAAATCTATCCTGTAAATGCAATGAAAGTCACTTTTCAAGAAAAGCAAGTACCGCTCAACATGTCCCCAAAAAACTCAATCTAAAACTAGAGAATAGAAAAAACTAAAATGTAAGAAAAAATGTAATATGTGAGCCAGTAAAAAAACATGTCCTCTGCCATGCTTTTGTTACCAAACCATTACAGTGAGTGTCCAGTTGCCTTGCTTTATTCAACACAAACTCACTTTTTTCCTCTGTCTCTCTTTAGGCTCCAGCAGCGTTTGGTCTTGTGTCTTTCCTCATGCATGCAGGTCTGGAGAGGAAGACTATTCAGAAGCATTTACTGGCATTTTCTGCTGCTGCGCCGCTGATGGCTATCAGCACCTACTTCATCCTGAGTGCAGTATGAAACCTCAGTTTCTCTTTATTTGTCCTGTGAAACTTCAGTTCCAGTAGAATAGCAAGCCAAGCATCAAAATATGCACACAATGCAGTGTTATTGTAGAATATTTTATATTATATTAAAAGCAAATTGAAAATGTGAATACATTTTTCAGTTTAAATTGTAATAATTTCGTTATGCCCTTTTTTCTGTTTTATTAGTTTTTATTTTTTTATATACAAATTTGTATTTACAAATTTTTGTAAATACATATGTAAGTACATATGCATTTATGTATTTATCTTTTATTTTATTTCAGATTTATTTGAATGCAACATGAAAATGCAACATGCTTTTTAATTTTAGTTCTTTTTTTGTTTTGTTTTGTTTTGTTTTTGATGACACAATGACATCAGGTCCTTTTGAGATCTGGGGCCTGTTGCATAAACATACCTATTATGTTAAGTCAGTCTTTCTTTTCAGTATCAATTTAGACCTTGAAAATAAAATTTGATGACTAACTAGTCTAAGCAGTTTATGCAACTGGCCCTTGTTCTCACAAAGTGAGTTCTCATAAAGTTTGCCATGGGACCAACATGTTCTTTTTGGACTATAGAGAGAGATTGTATTTTTTTTACATTACATTTACTTTTTTATTTTTTTTTAATGTTCTAAAATAAGTAATGAATACTGTTTTTTTTATCTTTGCAGTCTAATGGCTCTTCTCAGAACCGCCTGAGCGCTACAGGCATTGGCATGCTGTTCTCTGCTGGGACTTTCTTATACGTGGCCACGGTTCATGTTCTGCCTGAAATCAACAGCAGAGGTCATCAGCGCTCCACTCACCTCCACCCTCACGCAGGAACTGGAGCCTACCAGCAGCAGAGCGGTCTGAGCATCACAGAGAGCCTGACTCTCATCCTGGGGACTGGACTTCCTGTTCTGTTGGCCCTCGGACTGCCAGACGATTAATCTGTAAAAACCATCCAACAGCCAAACGTGACAGTGACGTGTAATATTTCATTTTCAAATGTTTATATTTGTATTATGACTTCAGAATGCTCTTTGAGAGTTTTATGTTTTGTCATGATTAGTGTTATGAAACTCCCCACATTTTCTGTTTAACAATTAGACAGCTTTAACTCATTCATTTTTTTATTAGCCGAGAAACAACTACAAGCCTGTGGTGTTTTTATGTGCATTGTCAAAGACAAAAAAGATTATATTTGATATTCTTATATCTAGAATCAAAATTTATTTTGCCTTAAAAAATAAATTTTTATCACCTCCATAAAGTTGCAAAACTTAAGTGCAATACAGTGATCTTTTTCCAAGTAAATGTAAAATATTGTTTATTTTTTGAAGTTTTCTATTAAACCGAGAATGCCTTGTGTTGATATAAACCGATGTTTATTTTGAGAACTAAATGCCGTGCAATCTGACACATGCAGACTGTGATCTCTCTGGTACGTGACAATCTATTAAAAGCTGCTATTTTGAGTGCATTTTTGTGTTTTGCAAATCACTTGTTGACAACAATCACTTGACCTTAAAGGGTTAGTTCACCCAAAAATGAAAATCATGTCGTTCCAAACCCGTAAGACCTTCGTTCATCTTCGGAACACAAATTAAGATATTTTTGGTGAAATCCGAGAGCTTTCTGACCCTGCATAGACAGCAACACAACTGACATGGTAGTGAGGACATTGTTAAAATAGTCCATGTGACATCAGTGGTTCAACCCTAATTTTATGAAGCTACGAGAATACTTTTTGTGCGCAATGAAAACAAAATTAATGACTTTATTCAACAATTTCAGTAATAACACTGTTATCAGTAATAACACTGGCACAATGACCTTGTCGACCTTAAGATGATGTATCAGCTTTAGATAAACAGCTATCGATACATTAATAGATGTCAGATGTGCAACCAATTGTTATTATCAGAATATATTTATACTTAAACATGCAATTTGAGTTTAGTCAGTCATGCTTTATTCTAAGATGTTTTTTAGTAACTTTTTCTATCCAAATCGGTCTCAAAACTTGCAACACAAAATCCATATAAAAATGAGTGATAAATACTGTAAAATATTCCAAAACCTTAATGGTTAATAAAACCACATTATTTGTTCAAATAAAAGTCAATAAATAATACATATTCAATAAATACTTGATCTTTGGTGCAGCTTATTAATTGTCTTCGTCTAGATAAATACATTTATCAGCACCGTAAACATCTCGTTTGAATGAAAAATACATCAACCTGGTACTCTGTAGTCTAATACTTCTGATGGAAGCTGCATTTATAATCAAAAGTGGCTATGAAGTAGTTTTATACTCCTCTGACTTTTGTTTGGCTCCATTAATACTATTATAATGATTATTTTTTTAGTTCTACCCTATTCATAGTTTCAGGTGGCCCAGTTGAGCGGTCAGCTCGGCTTCTCGTGCCATCTGGTGGAAGGTGCGACGGGACGTCTGCTCCCTCACCCTCTCCCGCATGCAGCAGGAGGCGTGAGCCACCTTCCGGCTCCGCTCCTGGGCCTCGGCCCTCTCTTTCTGCAGCTTCTCCCTGCGCTGTTCCTTCTCCGTCACGACCTTGCATCTCTCCTCCCGTTGCGCTTTCTCCTCCTCCAGGACTCGGTCTCGTAGTCTGCGATGGTCGAGTTTCTTCTCCTGGTTTTCTCGCCTGACGAGTTGAGCTCTGCGACGCCGCTGCTCCTGCACCTGCAGCACTGCACGCTCCATCCGCAGCTGGCAACGTTGCACCAACGTTTGCTTCTGCTCCAACCGATCCCTGTTCTCCCTCCTCGCCTGCTGCTGCGCCACCCGCATCTGCTCCTCCTCCTTCGCGGCACGTGATCGCATTTCCTGCACCCGCGCCTCCAGAAGCAGCGCGTGGTTCTCCTTGGAGCGTTGCAGCTTCTGCTCCAGTCCTTTTCGCTTGAGCTCCTTCTCTGCACGCTCCTGCTCCTCTACCTCCTTTTTTAGGAGGAGGTGCTTGAGTAGCTCCCTCTGGTTCTCTTGCTCGAGTCTCCTCCTTTCTCTCTTTTCCTGCATTCGCTTGCTCCTCATTGCGTGTTGTTCTTTTTCATGCACCGCCTTCAGCTCCTTCTCTCGCTGCGCCTCCTCAATGTGCTCCTTCTCCCGCACGAGCCTCTCCTGGTAGCGTTTGCGCTCTTTTGCATCCTTGCTCGCCATGTCAAGCTTGAACCTTCGCCGAGCTTGTTGCTCCTCGGCGTGCCTCCTCCAGCGCTCCTCCTGCCAAAGCGTCTCCCGCTCATGCTGCTCCGCAAACATCGCCTCCTCTTCCTCTCTCCGCCTCCTCCGCTCCTCCAAGTCCTCCTGCCAGCGGCGAATATGTCGCAGAAGTTCTTTTCGTCGCTTTTGCTCCATGTGAGCTCGCCGCGCCTCTGCTCCTCCTCATGATGTTGCTCCTCAAACATGCTCTGGCGTAAGCGAAACTGCTCCTCTTCGTGCCTGGCCAGCATCAATGCAACAATCTTTCGGTCTTTTTCTGGGATGGTGATGCTTAGTTTGCGACTGATCTCCTGCAAGAGGCTCTTCAGCCGACGCTCCGTCGCAGGAGAACATCTGAGGTCGGCCAGACTGAAACTGTAGGGGAACTTCTGACCGCATGTGGTCGAAAACCCATCTGAAATGGAAATCGCAGACTTTGAATGAACACGGTCATCTGTGAACCGTGTCTTAGTTGGACACTTGGCTTTGGAATCGGTGCGTTGACTCTCAGCTCTTTGCTCCAGGATGGTTTCCAGGGCTGTGAATGGTTTTACAGACGACTTTCTGTTCCAGCCCTCTTGTATGATCCGCTCTCTCTCCTCTCGACACAAGCGCAGTCGTTCTCTTCTTCCTTTCTCATACTCCTCATATAACGCAGTCACCTCCTCCAGAGAGGACTCCTGGTTTTCATCAATAAAGTCTGTGAGGGATCTGAACAACAGATCAACAGGTTTCACTCCCAATCTTGCACAGCATTCAAGTGAACGTGGACTTGTCAGAACATATCTGCTGTCTTCAGCTTCAGGAGAGCTGAAATTCTTTAAATCCAAATGCAGGAGAGGTGAAATAGATCTAATATGCTCCATTAATAACTGTGTTCAATCTACTCTGTGCATTTCATCGAGAATACAGCAGGTTTACCTAGCCATAGTTGTTGTTATAAAACAGCTTACAATGAAATAAAACATCTCTTTATACAATTTAATTCTGATTTGTACTTATATGAATGTTTTATAATACTTCTTCGCGCCTTAATCTGCTCTTCAAATCCTTGGAGGCTTCTCTGGTCACCATAGCAGCGCAGCAACCACACAGGAACTGCTTTAAATTCTTCTAAGCTCATGGATCCTCAAATTGTAAACAGCGCCATCTAGCGATCAGGTGGCGACATTTAGCACTAGAACACTTTTCAAAATAAAAGTGCTGTAGTGAAATATGTTCATATTTAATGTAATGATCTACACGTGCTTCCTCTACTACAGGGGTGTCAAACTCGATTCCTGCCAACCCTGCTCCAACACACACACCATGTAGTTTTCAAATAAGCCTGACGGACTTGATTTGTTGGATCAGGTGTGTTTAAATAGGGTTGAATCTAAACTCTGCAGGGCTCCGGCCTTCCAGGGGTCAGTTGTTCAGAAAGTTTCATCTGGATCAGAATGATCTGGTTTTGGAAATCCCATGTTTTGCTATCCAGGATCAGGTAACCCATCTTACTGCTGTGCTGGATCACCCTGATCCAGATACACAGGTATTTAGATTTCCAAATCTGGATTACTAGTGCTATGGAGCCCCTAAAAGGGCATGGTGATAGAAAAACTAATTGAGATGGAAAAAAATGTTTTGCATTGCATTTACATTGTAGTAACTACTTCTGACTGGTCCATCTCTGACGATTGTGCCAATGTAGTTTACAGTCAGTGATAAAAAATAATAATAAAAAAAAAACTTTAAATTAAATATAATATTTTTGTTTAATGTTGACAGCTGTTTGAGGATTTGGGGATATATTACATGTTACAAATGTATTTTTTGGACCAGTTTTAAAGTTTTATTGCTTTAGTTCCTGAAATCCACCCTTCTGCTGGGATCAGAATAATCAATTTTTTTAAATAAAAAGTATCCCAATCTTACTAAAACGTTTTAAGCAACACAAATGGAGGATTTAATCCAGATCAAAACCAAGATTGGATTTTGTGATCTAATCCAGAATCCTTTTTTTCTTTTTCTTTTGAACCCATTTTCAAGATTTGATCCAATCCGGTGGCCAAAATCTGATCCGATTACTTTTGAACAACTGGCCCCAGGAGTTGAGTTCGACTTTACAATCAGTGATAAAAAATAATAATAAAAAAAAAACTTTAAATTAAATATAATATTTTTGTTTAATGTTGACAGCTGTTTGAGGATTTGGGGATATATTACATGTTACAAATGTATTTTTTGGACCAGTTTTAAAGTTTTATTGCTTTAGTTCCTGAAATCCACCCTTCTGCTGGGATCAGAATAATCAATTTTTTTAAATAAAAAGTATCCCAATCTTACTAAAACGTTTTAAGCAACACAAATGGAGGATTTAATCCAGATCAAAACCAAGATTGGATTTTGTGATCTAATCCAGAATCCTTTTTTTCTTTTTCTTTTGAACCCATTTTCAAGATTTGATCCAATCCGGTGGCCAAAATCTGATCCGATTACTTTTGAACAACTGGCCCCAGGAGTTGAGTTCGACACCCCTGCTCCACTAGGACACCTGTGTGAACTGGAGGAGAAATAACTTCAAATATGACTAATAAAACGAAATATCGCCAAATCGCTTGATTAAACATCATTGAATAAATGTGAGCCATCAAATTAGTGAAAAGATCCTGCAGCATTTGTTTGCTTGACATTTGCTTTTATATTTTGTCTAATGCAATGACGTTTAAATACTCTTTTCATATATAAAGTTGACATTAAACAGTTTTATCGTGAATAAAGCAGAAAAAACATTAATCTTTGCATAATATTGTGTAAGCAAAATCAAGTTTATAAAATATTAATCAGTGTTAACGCAGTCTTCATTTTAGTTCTCCTGTTTCTTGGCAATGACCCCACTTAACGATAACCATAGGAAGTATGGTATTTTTATAATGAAAATCAGCCTTTGTGAATATGTAACAATTGGTGGATGTAGTTGCGTCAAATATTAATGAACATTTTCTTGGGTTTGCCACTGGAATGACGGCACTAATCAAGCAAACCGTTTTCACTGGAACCCTCCATTACGAGAGCGCTGACAGACGAGCAGTTGAGTCTCTGGTGCAGCTCACGTACTGAACACACATCACCATCTGATTACAACCAGAAATGTGTTTATTTGCATTCCCTTCCATTCACAGACCCACCTACCCACCCACCGCACATTTCAACATTGCCAATTTTTTGGAAAACATCTCATTCAAAAGGCACCAAAGCAAGTTGTGTATTTACATGGTGTT